ATAAACATGCAAACAAACCAACGTTAATAAAAGACTGGCACACAACACGCTATTTGAACCTATAGCTAAAAACCACATGGGTTACACTTTGTGCAAAAACAACTGCCCACTTCATAAAAACTCATGCACATATTTCCTTGCGTTTTCTAAACTATTAAGGAAATATAAGTAAATATGCTGTACACTTTAATGAGTAAGAATTTACACCAGCTGAGCCTCATTAATTTAAAATCATGAAGGCCTTGAGAAAAACCTTGGCTCTGATTAACGCTTATTTATAATTAAGCGTTGATCAATTCCATTTTTTTAACAGTGCATCAGCAGGACTGGAGTACGCCTCCATCCTGTCTACGACGCCATTGTCTTTTCTGTACCGGTCGGCCCTGCTGTATTAATCAGAGGCGGAGATCTGCCCATCAATTAAGGAGAATGACATGCTTTTTCGTTAGTGAACCTGCAATCATCGGACTTCACAGACTTCTCCTTTTTCATTATGGAAATGATTATGACTAAAAAGCCCCGCCCCGAAAAAAATCCAGAAAACATAAAAAGAATAATGGTTCTACAGTTGCAAAAGCACATGTTCAAGTTCAGAGTCTATACAGTACAAACTAATATGAATTAACTTTCTTACCCTGAGGCATCTTAAAGTTGGAGCAAAATTATATCACAAAGATGAGACATCCAGGCGATTCCAAGCGTAACCATCATAGCAAATACGAGGCCTAGCTTACAAATTTTATAGGAGTCAAGTGTGCGGACTGTCCCCGAAGACAGGTGCTCAATGCCAATACAATGTACAACGGAAGCCACCTCCAGCCGACGGGAGTATAAAACAAGTGCATTACACTTTATGACACAGCCTCCTGTGGTATGAAAAGCATACAAATCGCGTATCCGCTCCGTTCACAAGTACCCTCACCGGCAAAGGAAGTACAGTTGGGGGTGTGCGGCCACTGCGTGTACATAGAACAAATCCCCTGGTGTACGCACGTCGCACACAAGGAACGGTGCGCGTCAACCAGCGAAATGTACCGCCCATGGGACGTCGTTGCTAGGTAAAAGGGCGACCTCTTTTGGTAGCGCACGAAGCTCATAGGCAAGATACGATACATGTACTAGATTCCGGGCGCATGCCGAGTACGCTGTACAGCGTACATCTACCAGTAGAATCCCAAAAGATGAGGATGTTGCCTCTCATCAAAGGCGTCCTTTGTACACCTTTACTGGTATGTCATGGCTGCCACTACTGCCAAAACATTACACTAAAGTGAGCTGATTGGTGCAGATACAATTTCAGTCGACTACATCTTGCCTAGTAATTATTCAGGGGCGTGGCAAGTTCATTTTGGTTGGGGGTGGGAATAAAGATATCCTGAAAAGGGCACTTGCACATCTGCGCTGAAATGTGTTCTTCCTCCGTAAAAGTTCAAACTGACGTTTATGCACACTAACGGCAATATATATGTGTGGTGCTTTTCAGTGCAAAACATGTGCGAAATTCATAAAAAGGCCCCAGTGACGGCCGATGGCACAAAGAAAGGGCACGATATTTTTTTCAAGGGTACTTGAAAAAAAAAACTTATTAAGGCCAAAAAAAAAAGTCTCCGGTTTCTGGTATGGAGCTTGCCCCAAAAGTGGTGCGGCGACGCGGCTTTTTTTTTTTTTTTTACCTTTTTTTTTTTTTTTTTTTTTTTGGGGGGGGGCTTCAAATGTCAGCTGATTACTGCAAATGGTGCCCGACTAAACTTAGTGCAAATATATGGGAGTCCAGAGAGGCCACATAAAGCTTATTCTCGATCATAACCCCATCTAAAAACACGTTAAAATTGTGCAGCAGCAGGATACCAGTCAAACCAGTGAGTTTGGCGGTTTTGAGACATCATCTTGTATTGAATAAAAAACTTTTTCATTTTGCCGACGCGCATGGCTACGGCGACGCGCGCACATACCAGAAACCGGAGACTTTTTTTTTTTGCCTAATGTGGTGTGGCTCTCGGAGAAACTGCGGTTGGTGGATGAGTGGGGCGCCACCGTGCGGTGGTGGTATTCCCGAAATCTTCCGTCACCGCATGGTTGCGTCCTACAAAATCTGCCAACTCAGGTACATTTTTATCGTGTTGTCTGCCATTGATGTCTCTTTTAACAATGCTTGTCTGATTTAATAAGCATTGGAGTTTATGATATAAAGAAGTAGAGTTATTGACATTGTGTAAAAGTAATTAAAGGGAAAATACAACATTTGCAAACATCAAAAAATAAAAATACCAAATCATTTTAAAATACCTTACTGGACTGTTAGTGAATGACAGTGTAAAGCATCCTGTAAAATCATGGCACCTGGTATACTGTCATTTTCAAGAAAAGTGGTATTTTTGTATCAATTTCCAACGCTGACTGGCTTTTCCCCCCAAATACTGGCCCAATTGACTATCGCACTTGTTTGCAATCGATTACAAACCTACGAACGGGTACGAGCCAGCTAGACTGGTTCCCTGACCTTACAATTCCCCAATGTATGTAAACTGCTCTGTTTCTTTTGATATGGAGTCAGGAAACCAGACTACAGGAAAATGATCGTTTTTCTTGGTTTTTATAGCATATTCGAACCCAAAACCTCAAAAAAGTCAGTGTAACTATATTTGCTATATATTTCCAACCCCCCAATTCCATCCATTTCTGAAAATTACAGCAAAAGCAAACGATGTATATTCCCTTTAATTTCAAGAAACGAAGATATGTTGATTTTGCAAACATTGCGACTTCGTCGATGTATACTTGTGGGCGTTGTGCCAAGCTGGATAACGTGGGGCATAAATCTCCTCTTGATCTTTACCCCTGGATGTAATATTCTGGATAAACATAAGGAGTGACTATTAGCTTAAGTGCATGTACAAGTGTAGTTGTTTTTGCCACAAATTAAGCCTTATTCTGGTGAAAACTTACTGTGAAATTTGCACCCATGCAGATGTTGAATAGCGCCCTCTTGTGTTTGAATGATCTGTTCATATGTTGACATGCACAAGTAGGAGGTCACTAATTGAACAGGAAATTATGTACTGTGTTTTGGACCATTAATCAGAAAGTTTAGGTGGAATCTGTTAAATATTCGTGCAACTAATTTTATTGGGACTTGACTGTAATTTAGTTTCTGCAAAGTCTCTGTGAATTAGCTGCATTTGTGTATCTGGGAAATTAATGACATGTTTCTCGTCTACAACCAAGTGGACTGTTAACAATTTTAATTCAGGTTTACAATCTTATAATATTTTCAGTGGAAACATCAGAGTATAATTCTAGTGTGCTCTCACGGTTTGTAGTGGAACTGGGGGACGCAACCTCTCTACATGTTCACATTAATTTTATTGAATAATTATTTAATAAGTGTTTTTTAAAGTTCTTGGTCTTTAAAGTTACAGAGGTATATGAAAAGTGACAATTTGAAAGGTAAAGTAAGGCATGTGAAAAGGAAAATGAATAAAGAGTAATAATCGATATGATATTGCTCATGTCTAATAAGTAAATACTGTATACCACCTTTGCTAAGCTTGGGCGTCGCCAGGATATATTCTAGAAGAGGGGCAAAGCACATCCCCCCCCCGAAATCCCTGTTCTTTTCCAGCATGCATCTTCTCGATTCATCATTTTTCGAGGGTGGGCAGGGACGTGTGCCCCCCTCCCATTAATAGCAATATGACTTCGCGCCTCTCTTTTCTTCTTTTTTCCCCCGTTTCTCCCTCCTTTATTTTTTTAATAGTTTCCGCCCCTCCCCGCCTCTCGCGTCGCCCATCTTGGCAAGATTATACAGAGTAAGCTATATTGGAAATTTGAAAAGTTTCATGCAGTATTCATTGCAATTGTACAGTGTTGTAGAGCAAAATAGTTTGCGGTGCATACTGAATAATATTCATTCCATGGGTTTACGAAGCGATTTTGAGTGGGTAAACTCTTTTGTATTGACTCAAATTCAACCACTTCCGATAGCGTCCTGTCATTGTGTCTGCAATACTTCAACAAGGATAATAGTTTGCGACGCTTGAAGTAATTATTATCGAAGTTAGGTGCACTTTTACCTGGATATTATCAAAACGTAGTGCTTTTTGGGTCCACGAAAATCCCCTAAAATGCCTGACATTTCCAGAGAAAAATGTTGAAAACGCCCGTTTTATGTGGCGCGTCAACGATTTTTCCCCTCACCTTTAAGTATTTCTAGCAGTGAAAAAAGAAACATTGAATTTTAACCCAAAAATGAAACCGTCAGTTTGCAAGCTATAGTTGTGTGCACGTTTATATTCCACTTGCCATCAATTTTTCCAATGATTATAATTTCGTGAGAAATGCGTTTTTAGAGCTCAAAAGAGTATTGTATTTTGAGTGAAACAAAATCATATTCTAGCTGGTCTTCCCAATATTCCTTTTTACTATTATTTTACTACATGCAAAAAAAATATTACATATGTAAATACATGCCGTTGTATTTTGTTTACTGATTGTGCCACTAACAATCTAAATAAATTTGAACCAAATAAATAGAAAAAGGGAAATGTTAATGATTTTAACCATAAGCTTGTTTTTATCCAACTTATTTTTCCCGGCATCACTGTAGCATGAGAAACCCCGCCTTTAATGCTTATAGGACTTTTGACAGTTCAAACTGTGAAAAAGTCTGTGTCATTAACCTTTGTCAACTGTTAGATTGGTTCCGGGTCCTTCCATCGTATTCCTCACTCAGAATGTAGGAGGCGGAAACAAGTCCAAACGGTAAATCGTGACGTAATAAACAGGACTCCAAATGCAGCGTAGTATAAACGAGTCCTGTTTATTACGTCACGATTTACTATGTTTTGTTTGCTGCCCACAACGACGACTTTTACACAAATTGCACGTTCGGGTCGAAACAGGACCTAAAAACAGCTATTAAAAGTACCTTTTGTACTCATTTCATGACAGACACAATAGTCGTTTTTATTTCATCACACCTTAGGCTACATATACCCGCAAAATTAAGGAAATGTCTTCGAGCATTCCACAACCTCTAAAAATGTTACACCACATTTCTATGACACATGCATCCCCGCATGTCAAATGTCCAGCAAGCACTAGAGCTAGGTTTTCCCAAGCTATACGGCGAAATTACTCATGACTTTTGCAGCCGAGGACCTCCAAGCGCATGCTGCAGTGTGCGCTCCACTGAGTAGGCAGGATACGCAGGAGCCTGGCCCGGAAGGCCTTCGGGAAAGTGGTGGTCACAGGAGTGCTTCTGTCCGAGTTTCCAGGGAACTGTTGAATAAACAATATGGATGGGATTTACAAATTAGCCCTGAAAGTTGGGAGGTTTTCAATTGTTTAACCGACTTTTTGTCTGGAGCATCTTCTGTAGGAATTTGCTTATATTAAATAGCTGAAATAGCCTAAGGGTTTTTTTTTTGTTTAAGTTTCCTTGCTGTTTTTCTGTTGGTGTTGGGTCGGCCCCTGACATCAGGTAATTCGACAAACATGTTTTTTTTGTTTAAACTGCAGCGATTAAGAATATGACACACCTAATCTCGTCCCCAAGGCTTACTTCAATGTTCAATCTCGTTTCAAATGAGAGAGCAGGTGGAGGTAGTGGTAGCGTACTGCTTTAAATCATGATACCGGGGTTTGGGCTCGCCCCCGATGACCGACAGTTAATCTGACCTCAATGTTTGATAAATAGCCGTGTAATTTATGTTTTTTTGTGTGCAAATCTGGGTCTGGGTACAGTTTGGCTTATTGAAGCAGAATGACAACATTACCTCGATCTAAAACATAAAAGATTGTGAAAATACATATATTTAAAATTGTAGCAACATATATGCTGATATATCATCGTCAGTAACCTTGGGCTCACATCTGCTTAGGCCTATACTCCATAACTATTGTCGTTGCACCTCCAATATGACCATTGTGTCCTTCATGAACAGCAATGTAATTTATTACTGACCTTTGTCGGTGCACTTTCTCCTTCCGCGGTGACGTCGGTCCATTGCTGGCCGTCGTTGCTATAGGCAACCTGGAACTCAGTCACCCATTGATAATAATTGTCAGGACGCCCCTGAGTGATGACACCAGTGATGATGACACGGCCACCGAAGTCGACTTGGATCCACGGATTGGGGTCACTAAATCCGGCATTCACCCAGGCAGCACCTAGTAAGCAGATATATGCATACAATGACTCTTAGCAAGTGTGCCACAGAGTGAGATAACCAGGCAGCGGCCGTGCTTGCAGAGTGAGATAATATTTCTAGGGGAAGAAACCCCCCTCACCCCCGGAACAATATCTGTAGTAGTGCTTCTTCAACTTTTCACTTTTTTGGTCACCTTTGACGCACATCCTACCATTTCGTTTGAGTTTTCTTAATAGTGTTCATTCGTTTTGAACGTACGCAGGACGGGCATTTACGTTTCAGCCAATGAAAAGCTTTGCTTGCCACGCTCCACCCACAGTTACCGCCCACCATGATCGTCTACTGCCTTACTTTTATTATTAAAATTGTTTGCTGCTTGTATTAATCATGATAACAATGCAAGAGGATTCCAACAAGTCGTTGAGCAGTACAAAAATCTGAATAACAAAAGAGGATATCTCTTACAAACAAAGCTGTCTGGCACAATGCCTGCTGAATCTCTCTATCGAAGCAATTTGGCAAGTACATGTTCATTGTACATGATGTGTTTTGAACAAAATCTAGTCGGTAAAGCAAACAGAATTACGCACGTAATTAGTTTAGTGCAGGTATATGAATTCCAACTGCAGAGAGTCCTCTCAGCATTTAAGCCTACTGTACATAATGGCTTCAGTCATGGATCCCGTGGCCACAATCATGTTCCTTTCTGTATGTTATTACTTTCTGTTATTGATAAGTGTACACCCTGTTGATTTTTTTCTCGACGAAGAGCTGGCATTTCTTTGGAATTATTTTAACACTCTGTTTATGGGTTTTCTCTGCACGGGCATGTTTTGTTTGCCTGCACCTTTGCCAAGATTGCGCTACAATAGAAACTATTCTGAAGGCTTACGTAGGGTACAGCATACAGTCAGTATTCAGATTAACAATACACTTGCAAAGTAAGGAAAGAAAAAGGCTACGGCAGGGAACGAGCGCTATATAGACACTATTATAAAGGCTTACGTAGGGTACAGTCAGTATTCAAATTAACAATACACTTGGAACGTAAGGAAATAATCAGGCTAAGGCAGGGTGTGAGCGCTACAATAGAAACTATTATAAGGGTTTACGTAGGGTACAGTCAGTATTGAGATTTACAATACACTTGGAACGTAAGGAAAGAATAAGGCTAAGGCAGGGTACGAGCGCTACAATAGAAACTATGTAGGATTCAAAAGGCTTACGTAGGGAACAGTCAGTATTCAGATTATTTAGAAGTAACAGTAAAAACGGTACGTAGGATTATAAATGCTTACGCAGGGTACATTCAGTATTCAGATTAACAAGACATACACATTCTATGCCTGTAAAAGCTAAAGGCCACCGTCGGGTACTGTCACTCTGAAAGCAAGACGAACGTGAGGCACAAAATGGGGAACGTTCGACAAAATATATGTGCCCGTGTGAATATCAATGATGAGGAGAGGGCACTTGTTTTAAATGCATATCGCCATAAGTTTATAAACACAGAAGAGGTTTATGGAGTAAATCGTAAGTCTATGGAGTAAATCACCAATGTTTTACGACGCTGAGAAAAAAGTTTGGGTCATTACGTTTAAAATTCCAATAAAAAGAAATATTCGTATGTTCCGTATTTTTATTATATTCTTTTCATAACTAAAGACGAATAAAACTGCTGCAAACTGTTAAAAGAGTATAATGCCCTGAAACTACTAATCAACAAACTTAGCTGACCCAAGTTTCGGCAAGCCCTTCCAATTTTTATTTATAATTATTTATTTATAATACATGGGATATAACTGATAACAAGTCTTTTATTTTGTTAATTTCAGTTTTTATGTATCGGAGATTATACGATAGAGCTTCAAAGAAACAGATATTTGTTTGTGTTTACTTTTATTGACAGGAAAATGTTGACAAACTTTGTCGAAAGATTTCAACATGAGTTTGAGTTGTGCACTACAGTGTCCTATACATGTATACGCGTACATGTACAACATTTCCAGTGCATTTCTTCATCACGTCAATATGTTGCCTATAGGTACAACACTATACAACTCCACTTTATTGTTCCCGATCCTGCCACTTAGAATGTTCTTTTGTTATGTTGATATTTGTACCGCTCAACGACTTGGAATCTTCTTGCATTGTTACAATGATTAATACAAGCAGCGAACAATTTAAATAATAAAAGTAAGGCAGTAGACGGTCATGGTGGGCGGTAACTGTGGGTGGAGCGTGGCAAGCAAAGCTTTTCATTGGCTGAGACCTAAATGCCCGTCCTGCGTACGTTCAAAACGAATGAACACTAATTAGGCCCTACGGTTCGTCCCATGTGATGTTTCGTGAATGAAAATAAAATCAACAATTTACCTTCTAAGTTAAGACGACCCCTGTAGGGCGCCCAGCCTGCCTGGTTGCCCCAGAACGTCGAAGCTGTAATGTTTGCATCTAGGATGCGTCTATCTTCCATACCAAGGGGTCCAGCCTCGGAGCACTCCAAATCTGTCGTATAGGTTGCTGTAAAATAAGTTCATTCAGGGTCGGACGGGGGTCTTTAATACTCGCATCAGTCTTTCCCTACTTGAACCGTTTTATGGACTTTACAGCCGGGAAGATTCCGCCCTCTGCTGATCGTGGAAATGCGTTATGAAACTTGGCTTGTTTTATAGAACTTGTTTTGTACATTGACGCTAATAACTCAAGTGGGCAGATATGATCAGCGCGCGTCCTTCCGTGAATGAGTATAATGAGTACGTTTTTTTTATATGATATATGGATATTGTTTTAGTGGCCCACCTCGAATATTGTGACATTTGGCGCGAATTTTCAGGAACTTGGTGTTAAGACGTCTGCAATACAACAGTCTAAAAGCTAAATTTCGATCGACACAATAAAAATGGACAAAGTGAAAAGCTGTCTTCGCCCGACAAAAATATACAGAAACGTCGCACCTACCTTTCTTACAGGGGACATGGACAGACACTTTGACCGCATCAAGTTGGTCTCGAAAAATGTCCAGTTGGCTATACAACGGAAGGAGAGCTGCTTCGAGAACCGAGTCGGAATCACCATGAGCATGTTCGTGTGCGGTTGCAGCAAACAGGCAGCACTGGGCCACCACGGCAAAGATAGCTACCAGGGGGTACTTCATCTTGATCATCAGAGACACAGAATGATCTCGAATCAGTTCTAAAATCGCACTTATATAGATTTACAACTGACCTAGAATCCTCGACACCAAGATGCGCACAACAGGCTGTGACCCTGCGCAGCACACAAAAGACGAAGGACCGTCACGTAAGTGGGTCAATCAGTTTCCTCCGGTGTCCAGGGCCATAAACTTTTCCGTCGTAAAGTCAGTGCAGAATTTTATTATGCCCATGCAAAAGAAAAAACACATAAAAGCCATTAAGGTATGATTAGCATATGTTGCATAAACTCCAACGACGTTAGAGGCTTCGTCAAGTCTACCAATAGTCCCAACTGGTTGTATGCTTGAGTAGCCATCCATGCAGCACCAGATGTGCGCTTCCTGATAGGCTTACAAGTCTTGTTGAGGTAGCAACAAGTTCAACTGCAGGTTGTGTGATTTTCTTTGTGAAAAACACAGGGTAGTGGGTGCAGGGTAATGGGAGGGGTATTGTGAAGTTCAATTGTGATTAAGTCACTGTAAACACACGAAAATACGCCAGCCCGACCACTCTGCGTTTGTAACTCAACAAACGCGAACCTCTAGTTGAGTGGTCGGGCACAACCCGACCACTGTCTGGATTTGTTCTCATAAATCTTCTTTGTTTGGTTCTTTTTTTTGTTTTTTTTTCCGGACAATATTTCTCCGCGGGTTTTCTCCTAAAACGGTTTATGGTATGAACTTGTAACTTTTAATATAAATCAACCCTCATCGGAATTGGTGCATATTACTCTGACGTCATGATTACGTCTTCAGGTGTCAAATTACAATTGATTTTATCTGAAAAAGTGACCAATTACTTTCACCTATAACTCTTGAACTAAACAATCAATGATGTTGGTATTCTGTAATCAGATAGACCATTAATTGCTAAACATTTTTTGTCACGTACGTTAACTCGCTTAACCTTTGCTTCCGGGTCTACCGGAAGGTCAAAGTAAGAAGAATTCAAAATGAAGACGTTAGCTGGAAATTAAAAAAAAAGCAAAATTTCTTCCGAACAGTTTACGGTATGATCACTAAACCTTGTGTGAACTTGTACCATGTTACGAAGATGTTATAAATTTTGTTACGTCATCATGACGTCATCAAATTACAAGCGATTTAAGGGCAAATTTTGACAAAATAGTTTGCGTTATATCTTTTGAACTAAATGGAGTATCGTGTTTATTTTTTCGTGAGGTTGTAGACTATGCCATGAGAAACATTTTGTGTTCCCAGACACAAAACCGTTTGACCTTTACTTTCGGTGTTACCGGAAGTGCAATAAAAACTTAATATAAATCAAAAGCAGAAGCATTTTACTACAAACATATATATTATGAAAGTGTTTAGTGAAGAATGCAAGATGCAAAAACAGTGTGATTACGTCATCATCCGAAAGGGCGCCCCCTCTCGGCACATAAAATAGAGTTTCCCTTCATTTAATTTTAAAACCATCCGTCCAAATTTTACCAAACCGCCCCTTGATATTCTCTGATTAACCACAGAAAACTTGGCAAGGTTTCAAATTCATGACGTCATGAGACCGGAAGTTACTTTAAGGAGAATTTGAAAAGGATCATAGTTTAAATTTAATTCTATCATTTGTTCCCTGTCATATCTTCGAAGTCCAAATAATGATATTCATTACAATGTTCGCCTTTGGATCTCTAATGCTGTAACGTCATCAAACCGGAAGTTAGGTGTTATTAATACGTCATCAAACCGGAAGTTAGGTGTTATTAATACAATTATATTTCCCATATTTTCATACGTTGTTTTAGCTTTGCAATGAAATATTATCCTCTCCGAACTTTATCAGTATTCACTAACCGTTTTTGACTGATGACGTCATCAAACCAGAAAGAACTTTTTTGTGCACATAGAACGTTTGCTGAAATTTATCACACCGTTAAAGATACCTTAGTTTTTGAAACATCCATTGTACTTGAAGGGATTTAATTTCGTGATCCTTTTTATTCTACATAAACATATATTCCTAACTTAAGTGGGCCGTGTATAATGAAAAGGCTGTCCGCCAGACCACTATGCGTTTCAACAAACGCGAAACTCTAGTTGAGTGGTCGGGCACAACCCGACACACTCTTTGGATCTGTTACGATTAATCTTTCTTTCTTTTTTCTTTTTTTTCCCGGTCAATACTAATCCGCGGGTTTTCTCTTAAACGGTATATGGTATGAACTTTTAACTTTCAATATATATCGACCCTCATCCGAAGTGGTGCATGTAACTCTGACGTCATGATTACGTCATCAGGTGTCAAATTACAAGTGATTTTAGGTGGAAAAGTGACCAATTACTTTCCCTTATAACTCTTGAACTAAATAATCAATGATGTTTGTATTCTGTATTAATGACATAGACCATTAATTGCTCAACAGTTTTTGTCGTGTACGTTAACTCGCTTGACCTTTGCTTCCGGGTCTACCGGAAGGTCAAAGTAAGAAGAATTCAAAATAAAGACGTTAGCTGGAAATTAAAAAAAGCAAAATTTCTTCCGAACAGTTTACGGTATGATCACTAAACCTTGTGTGAACTTGTACCATGTTACGATGTTATAAATTTTGTTACGTCATCATGATGTCATCAGATATCAAATTACTAGCGATTTAAGGGCAAATTTTGACAAAATAGTTTGCGTTATATCTTTTGAACTAAATGAAGTATCGTGTTCATTTTTTTCGTGAGGTTGTAGACTATGCCGTTAGAAACATTTCTTGTCCCCAGACACAAAACCGCTTGACCTTTACTTCCGGTGCTACCGGAAGTGCAATAAAAACCGAGAATAACTCAAAAGCATTTTACTGCACACATATAAATTATGAAAGTGTTAAGTGAGAAATGCCAGTCACAAAAAAGTGTAATGACGTCATCATTCAAAAGGACGCCCCCTAGCGGCACATTTAATATTGTTTGCTTTCTTTAATTTGAAAACCATCCGTTCAAATTTTACCAAATCGCCCCTTGATATTCTCTGATTAACCACAGATAATTTGGCAAGGTTTCAAATTCATGACGTAATCAGACCGGAAGTTACTTCTATGAGAATTTGAAAATGAACATATTTTAAATTAAATTCTATCATTTGATCCATGTTGTATATCTTCGTAGTCCAAATAACGATATCCATCACAAATTTACAATGTTCACCTTTTGCTTCCAAAATACTGTAACGTCATCAAACCGGAAGTAAGGTGTTATGAATACTACACTTATATTTTCCAGATTTTCATGCGTTAATTAACTTCACAATGGATATTGATCCACAAATCAGTATCACTTCCCGTTTGTGAATAATGACGTCATCAAGCAAGAAACTAGAGGTTCGCGTTTGTTGAGTTACAAACGCAGAGTGGTCGGGCTGGCATATTATCTTGTGTTTACAGTGACTTAATCATAATTGAACTGCACAATACCCCTCCCTTTACCATGCACCCATTACCCTGTGTTTTTTACAAAGAAAATCACACAACCTGCAGTTGAACTTGTTGCTACCTCGACAAGACTTGTATGCCTATCAGGAAGCGAACATCTGGTGCTGCATGGATGGCTACTCAAGCATACAACCAGTTGGGACTATTGGTAGAGTTAACGAAGCCTGTAACGTCGTTAGAGTTTATGCCACAGAATTATGCTAATCTTAAAATAAAATGGCTTTTTTGTTTTGTTTTGTTTTTGTCTTTTGCATGGGCATAATAATTTTGCACTAAGGGTACGACATTGGAAGAATTGACAGAGCGTCTTACGTCGTTAAAGTTTATGAAACATAATTATGCTAATTTTAAGATAAGATGGCTTTTATATTGTTTTTTTTGTTGTTGGTCTTTTGCATGGGTATAATAAAATTCTGCACTGAATTTATGACAACGGTAGTACTGCTACCACATAATTTCATCATTTGTTCATCATGGACTGCAAAATCACAGCTCTTATAAGAATAAACAAAGGGGAGGATCCAGGAATTTGTACAAAATCACACAAAGCATTCAATACTAATATTCTAGTCTTTTTTCTGATTGTTTTCGGCGTAACTCGCAAATCAACACTGATTCTTTAATTCGTACCTTTATGCAGAAATTTAATATTTCGACAGTGTAGCCACAAACTTTTTTTTCGTTATCTCAGTGCAGAAGCCATTTTATTTTTGATATTGAGATAATCAAATGTTGCATATATTAAGCTCCAAACTCGTCATAGAGGCTCCCTCAAGTCTACCGATTCCGATTCTGACCATGAATTCAATTCTAATATTCTCGACCATTTTCTGATATTTTTCGCCATATTGAAATCGCGCCTCGCCAGTTTTCCTCTCATATCTGAATGCTGAAAATTTATATTTCTACAGCGTGTAGCCACAAACTTGTCGGTCGTAAACTCAGTGCAGAATTTTATTATGCCCATGCAAAAGAAAGAAATAACATAAAAGCCATTTTATGATAACATTAGCATATAATGCATGAACTCCAACGACGTTAGAGGCTCTGTCAAGTCTACCGTTGTCATAAATTCAGTGCAGAATTTTATTATACCCGTGCAAAAGACCAAAAAAAAAAAAAATATAAAAGCCATTTTATCTTAAAATTAGCATAATTATTTTTCATAAACTTTAACGACCAGACGCTCTGTCAATTCTACCAATGTCGTAACCTTAGTGCAGAACTTTATTATGCCCATGCAAAAGACAAAAACAAAACAAAACAAAAAAGCCATTTTATTTTAAGATTAGCATAATTCTGTTGCATAAACTCTAACGACGTTACAGGCTTCGTTAACTCTACCAATAGTCCCAACTGGTTGTATGCTTGAGTAGCCATCCATGCAGCACCAGATGTGCGCTTCCTGATAGGCCTACAAGTCTTGTCGAGGTAGCAACAAGTTCAACTGCAGGTTGTGTGATTTTCTTTGTGAAAAACACAGGGTAATGGGTGCAGGGTAAAGGGAGGGGTAATGTGCAGTTCAATTATGATTAAGTCACTGTAAAAACAAGAAAATATGCCAACCCGACCACTCAAGCCTCACAAATATTAATAATGTTCCTATCCATTATGGTGTGCAGTAAAAATTTTGAGAAAAGCCTCCTTCACGAGTTAATAATTGATAAATATCAACCTTTTTGCCGGCTTCCACTGGTCGATACCGAGACCCACGCCAAATCACGCCGAGTGACGCTAATGAATATGCTAATCTACAATATGATATTGTGTGGCTTGGCTGAAATCGGTAAACCGTAGCGCCTGAGGCGCTTTGCTGAACAATGCATGTGACTTGGATTGGCAGAAATCATCGTCGAAATTTTCCATGGAGATCGTTCAAATTGTAACAATAGCGTTTGCAACAACATATTAAGCTGAAATTCGGACTACACTTGGATGATATAAGTGTTCAACTGCTCGTGAAATAACAAGTTTTTGAACGATTTCTTCCAGACTTGA